ACTTCCTACCTTATCAATATTTTCAAATAACTAATCACTTATCAAACTACTATTGGGATTTTTTTTTTTTTTTTTGCTATTCTCTAATAGCTTAGCATGCCTTTACACCACATTTGATTCAAGTGAAGAGCGCGCAATTGACGGGGGTACAATGAGGTACAAATGAAAGAGTGTGATTTGACAATAGGAGATGAATGGGATAAAAAAGGCAAAGAATGGAGAGAACAAATCCATATAGTAGAGAGGAAAATGATAGCAGATAGGTGGAATGAAGAAAAGGGTTGATGGCTAGAGAACCACAGAGGCAATGCTTAAGCAAGGTTTGCTAGGTTCACAAGGGGAGACCAAATGTTAGAAGCTCGTGTCGGCGCAACCTTGTAATAAGTATAGGATGAGGCTCCTTTGTGTAGACCAAATGTTAGAAGCTCGTGTCGGCGCAACCTTGGAATAAGTATAGGATGAGGCTCCTTTGTGTAGTCCCAACAAACGTGTCACTTCAACAAAAGAGTCAAAGTGATATAAGTAGGAGAGAAAAGGATAATTGCATACTAAGACCAAGAAATGGGTGGTTAGGCTTTGCATTTTGTCTATAACAATGGGTAAATCACTATAAGATACGAAAAATGTATAAGATACAAGAAAATTCCACCTTGCGTGGAAGCCAAAACAAATAAAGAAGGGATATACAAGAAAATTCCACCTTGCGTGGAAGCCAAAACGAATAAAGAAGGGATATATATATATATATATACATACAGAGAGAGAGAGAGAGAGAGGACTCTATTATTAATTTGCACATAGGAACTTGATGTCTTAACGAGATAAGTTTGAAAAAGAGGGAATGACACCTTCCTGAAGAAATGGCAAGATTTAAAGGCAACCTAGAAGTTTAGATGATCTGAACATGACAAATAATGGCATGGACACGTGTCATGGAAGCATGGGGTGCATGGCCCCACCTCTCAAAATGAGGGCGTCATGAATGCATGTCTTTTAGATGTGTTGGCAAAGTGGAGATCGCAAGACACAAGTCAACTTGGAGGAAATTATGTGCTCAGTAGCGGATGATCAAATGAATTTTGAGCCCTCAAAAAGTAAGGCATGATATGGACAAGGGAGTCAAAAGTTGAGTTTTAACCCATCAGGTTCGGTTCTAAAATGTTAATCATTTATTTTTCACGGGCCTGATTTGAGTTAACCCATCAACTCAAAATTAAACTAGAAACTCGAAATTGAACTGAACTTGACCCATAAACATGATTTGACAGCCCTACATAATGATATGTTATGGGCATAATGAATCACCGTGCATGATGGACATATATCATATCCACAGTGGCCACACAAAGTGTTAAGGTGCTAGAGAAGGTGTGGCGCCAATATTAGAAATATATCTACGAAATTCTCAAATGGAGCAATTGGGCAGATTGGATCCAATCTAATTGGCTTGAAAAAGAAGCCAATAGAGAAGTTAGCAAGGAAAATTGAGCTGTCATAATAAGAGTTCTTGAGTTCTGGATGAGTAATGTCTAGAAATTTGGTGTGATCATGTGGATGGTTGAATTTTCCAAAAGGAGCTAGTTTTGGTCGGCATAAGAATGTCAAACAAACTAGAAAACTAACTGTAAAAAATATATGTTTTTGAGGGGAAGGAGCTCAAAGCAAGGTGATATCTAGTTAAGAATACCCAAGACAGGTTAAATGTTTGGTCAATGATCATCATGGCTTCAATTAGAGGTTCAAACATTGATAGGTATAAACCACAAGTATGCTTAAGATTGGCTACAGAACCCGGTGATCATACTACCCACTCATTTCAATATTTTTTCAATTATAGGCGTTCAAAATGAAACATTCAATTTTTTCACAACTTGAAATTTTTTAATATAAAATCCAGATGATCGGAAGGAAGAGCTTTACGAAGTGTCATGGAGGCCGAGTGGTGTTACACTGGAAAATGGACTTAGGGGCTATTTGGTCGGATGAAAAAATAATGCAATGTAAAATAAATACAATGCAAAAGTAATATATTATATTTGGAATATTTTAAAGTTGTTTGGTTTGAAGTAAAATAAACATATGACTTCAATTTTTTTTAAAGTTGTTTGGTTTGAAGTAAAATAAACATACGACTTCATTTTTTTTTTATTTGAAGTAAAATGAAAATCATGTATTTTAAAATATGTGAGGTCTTCATAAACTAATGACAGCGGCAGTGGCCGAAGGTGGCATCAAGGATGGTGGTGGTCGTCAGCTAGTTGCCAATGGCAACAGGGATATTGGTGGCTGGCGGTCGACCAACGGTGGAAGCGACAATGTTGACCGGCCAACGGCGGTGGCGTCAATCGTGGCCAACAACTGCAGTGGTGGCCAGCGATGACAGTGGGTTGCGGAGGTGGCTGCCAGTGGTCACTAGTCGCAGCGGGTGGCCGACAATCAGAAGCAGCAGGTGGTTGGTGGTCAATGAAGGGATGCGGTGATGGTAGTAGGTGAAGGCCAGCAACAGCGGTTGCTATTGCTATAGGCAGTTGCAGCCATTGACGGCGGAGTTCAACGAATGCGGGTGGCTAGTAGTCGACGGCGGCAGCGGCTTGCAACACTTTGCGTAGAGCTATGTATTTGAAATTTGATCAAATCCATAGAAATCCAAATACACTAAAAATGAACTAACACTTGATTTCTAAATTCATTCTTATTTTACATTGAATTTGTAATTCTCCATGTCAAATGCCAGAAATCCTTAAAACCGTGCAAAAGGAATGCATCGCACTTCTTTTGCAATCGACCAAGCAACACTTCAACAAGATATTAAAATAAAGTAAGATGGTGTTTTCTTAGGAATGATATGTTTTAGAAATCTGAATGATTTCCTGAGTCAACTAAATTTGGGAGAATTGATGGCAGCTTCTAAAATGTATCTAGGTGAAATTAACTTCTTTTGATAGGAATGATCAGAGATGCTAACTAAATGAAATGAGTCCTAATAGGAATCTCAACCTGTCATACTCACCAACTTGTAATCAAGTGTAGAAAAGGTAGCGTACCACCAAGCAAGGCCAATGTGTCAACAATCTAACAAGTTGATTGGCGGCGGGGACGGTGAAAATGATGATGATAAATATGAATTTAAATTTAAAGTGAATTTTAGCTTTCTTCATGATTTGAAATTTCACCGCGGGGTGGAGGTTGGGGAGGGGGACGAAGTCTACATAACATTGACTTTTTTGGGATGATTTGAAATTTGGTTACCAAAAGTTTGTGTAAAAGTAGCCTTTTGTAACTCAAACTTCTTTAAGAGGATTTGAAATTTGGTTGTTTAAATTTTACTTAAGGCTAGATTTTTATAACCCAAATCTCTGTGATGATTTGAATTTTAGATTTAAATTGAAGTTGACCAAGTTTGATAATTTTATGGTATTAACATGGGGGGTTGGGGTCTTCGTAACATTTTTCTTTAGGATGAGTTGAAATTTAGTTGTTTAAATTTTTCTTAAGATTAGATTTTTATAACTCAAATCTCTGTGATGATTTGAATTTTTTATTTAAATTTTAAGTGGACCAAGTTTGATAATTTTATAGTGTTAACAAAGGGGACTTTGAGTTTTGGTGACCCGAAGTCAACTTCTCTGACCAAACTAGAATGTTTAATATACAATAAAGTAGCACTCGAGCTTAATCTTTAGCCCAATAGAGAAAGATTTTTTCTTGTAACTCAATCCTACCCTAGTTGAACTAGTGGCTTTGCTATTTACAGCTAGAATAGTATTTATTTAAATACCAACTAATAATAGGAGACATTGGTTGTATTATTTTATAGCTAATGAGACGATAAGCAACATTACTACCTTGATAGCGTAAGTGCTCTTCAAATTAAATTCATTTATCGCCAATTTCATGACAAGAAACAATCAACCGCATAAGAACTAACAAAAGATCTCCAACCTTAAACAACCTTGGGTGGAGCACTTGGTCATGGGATTGAACCATTTGTGCAAAATAAAGTTTAAGTAAAGCAGTACTTCCTTTACATTCATCAAAGGCGTCAAGTTCCTCCAATCATAATCGTGAATTATCCACACTAGTAAAGTTATGATGAACTGCTACATATCTCAAAAGGAAGCACTTCTTTAGTCCCAAATGCTTGCGCATATGGTTGCCCATATCTCAAAAGGAAGCACTTCTTTAGTCCCAAATCCTTGCGCATATGGTTGCCTTTTTTTTAGAAAGTTTGCCTTTTTTTTAGAAAGTTTTGAATTCAACGATAAACATAGTTCTTCAAATAGTTTTTTAATTCTCATTTATTGGCAAAAAGAGATTTTTTATCAACTTCATCGAGATTTTGTTGAATTCTTATGGCAGGTCATTTGCCCTAAGCTAATAGATTAGCGAACATCACCAATCTATTTGTTGATAACAAGTGAATTTGAAAATTTTTATACTGGCGATATTATTATCTAAGATGATTGAACGTGGCAAACCAAAGAAATAGATAATATTATCCCCAAAGAATAGCAATAAATTATTTGATTTGCCTTGGTTTAGTGGCATTATTTCTACGCACTTTAAAATTTTACTGAAGTCCACTAGGATGAAGCTATGTCCTTTTGAGTATGGCAGATCAATTGAGCCAATAATCTGTAACCCATCATTTGAAGGCTCGTGATGCCAAAATGGAATGAACCAAGACACTCTAATGTATGCGTTATGCAATTTCTGGCCATGATCAGTCAATAATATTCAAGCTTTTCAATTTTAGTTTTCATCATAAGGCTAGATTGGTATGCCAAACAGCCCTTCATGAACTTCGCTTATAACCTTTTGATTTCATCTTCAATGATGCATCACAACCACATTGTGTCAAAGAAAAAGTGATAAAGAATGAGCTGCAACTCATGTTAAAACCCAAGAAAATCGAAACAATACTGAAACAATAACAAATAAAAAAAATACCAAATTTTCAAGACGAAAAAGTTCATACTGGACAAAAAGCAAACCTGCAGAGTTAGTTCCTTCAGCAGGAATTCTCCATGAAAAAGAACCAAAGAAGGCATCAAGATCAGCATGAGGAAATTCATTCCGAAGATATTTCACTAAAGAAACTCTGCTTTGGAACTTCGGCTTACAACCTGAAATACTTGGGAAATAGTCAGGTGGAGAAATAAACCTATCAATCCAGTGCCCACTAACAGCTTTTCTGGTTCCTACTCTCCAAGTCCAAGTATCTCCAAGATGCGGCCAGTCCTCCGGAGCATAAGGCAAGCCAACTCCTGATGCACAAGCAGGAACAGGTTTGAGATCTATGATGCATCCATTACTTCCATCAAATTGATCAATATGCATGGATTCTCTGTCCTTAGGCATTCTGCAATGACAATTACCTGAAACGAAGTGTTCAAGTTTTAAAAGTTAAGCAATGTTTTCACATTTTTGTAAAATCAAATATCTTTCAAAGGCATGTTCAAATACTTAGTCTCAAAAGAACTTTTGCCTAATTCCCTACATTATACATTCAAATAAATTCCCCATTTTTAGCAGGGTGACAAGAGATGCATGCATAATCAAGTTGAGCAAATCCTCTCTCTGATAATGTATGGCTTAATGCAAGAAACAAGCAAACCAATTCCATATACAATGGATTTTCATGCCAATTACAATGATTAAAAAAATCGAAGATATCAATACACCATCCGAAAACACCAGAAAACTTTATTTTGGATATAAATTATGTAAAACTTTTGAAATATAGAAAGATACAGTATTTATTACATTGGTATAGAGAGTAAAAAAGAAGAATCTTCGAGCAAAAGAAATATAAAATATATGCAAGAACAAGGAAAGAAAAGGAGGGCTGAAATTCGTATAATCAGAAATTCAAAAAAAAATTAAATAATCTACGAAAAACCTTAGCCCTTGATATAAATGAATAGAACTTGTTACTCTTTCTACTGCTACCAATGACATTGAGAAGAATTCATAAGCCAGTCTTTAGATAACTTTGCCATTTAATCATCACCACTAACTTTAGGAAAGAAAGAATCTTCAGTACATTCAATAAATTTAATATACTCGCAATATAGCATGACAATAAGCTTACAAGCAAGTATGTGGGAGTACAGAGCCCTTTTCTACTCATATATTAAAGCCTAAAGCTGTTGCTTCTGTTGTTGGTGATGACATACTGAGCTAAATCAAACTCATAGTCATCACTAAACTTATGCCTACTGTTTTTGTTGGCTCTATGAATCCTTCTTCTCCATTCAATCTTCTTGACCGTCTCTGATTAGTCATCACTAAACTTATGCTACTGTTTTTGTTGGCTCTATGAATCCTTCTTCTCCATTCAATCTTCTTGACCGTCTCTGATTAGTCAACTCTGTTTTACTCCCGTCTTTCTGTGCAGCTGCTATTTATATTACATTTCACATAGTTTATCACTTTATAGTCCTTCAATGTACCCATGCAATTGCAGGCGGTACAACAGACTAACTAGGTCAGGCACTATTCAAGCAAAGGTTACAACAAGTTATGATGTAAAATAAAAGAAACAAGCAAATGAATGTTATAAAATGATTTGGTAGTGTATAACTACTAATATACTGACTAGCATAGTGCATATAATGATTAAAAACCTTCTGTGGAATTTAGAAGAAACTCTCTAAACTGACTAGCATAGTGCATATAATGATTAAAAACCTAATATTTCTGTGGAATTTAGAAGAAACTCTCTAATTTTTATTAAAGCAAATAGCTAATTTATATACAGCACGGACTAATCATCTTACAATTAGAGAGAAACTCAAATCATAACGATAAAAAAGAAAGAAATAAAAAACAATAATGGATAATTAATGGAGTATAATTTCTCCCCTTAAATATAATAGTGGACCCACAGTTTCTTAAACTATGCGCATATCAACATTCCCCCTCAAGTTGGGTTGTATAAGTCATACATCCCAAACTTATTGTTGAGATCACTAAAGTGGCGCTGAGGAAATGCCTTGGTATGAATGTCAGCAATTTGAAATTGAGTTAGGATATATCTTAGTTGAACAATCCCTCAATTGACCTTCTCAGATATGAAGTGTCTATCAATCTTTATATGTTTGGTTCGATCATAGTGTGTGATTGTTTGAAAAGTTGATGGATGATTGACTATCGCTAAACATCTTAATAGTGCTTTGGTTCACCATATGAAGTTCCGCTAGTAAATTTATTAGCCACACCCTTCATGAATACCTAAAGTGAGGGCACGATATTCAAATACTACACTGTTTCATGCCTCCACAACTTACTTTTTACTTTTTCAACTAACCAGATTATCCCATACAAATGAACAGTAATCCTTGGTAGATCATCTATTAGTCAATTCTCTTGCCCAACTAGCATTTGTGTAGATCTCAATGTCACGGCTCCCGGTTTTCTTGAATATTAATCTAGGTCCTGGAGTGATTTTTAGATACCTTAGAATTCGAAAGACCGTTTCTAAATGATCTTCACTTGGATTGTTCATATGCTAGCTCAAAAATCCAACAGAAAAAGAAATGTCAGGCTTTATGTGTGATTGAACAAATATTTACCCCATAAGTCTTTGATACCTCCCTTTTTTAGCTGGAGTGTTATCTTCTCCTTTTAATGTTGGTCGTTGGGATCCATAGGAGTATTTGTTATTTTGCATTCCAACATTCATATTTCTTTTAAAAGTCAAGGATATATTTTCTTCGGGATATAACAATGTCTTCTTTGGACCTAGCTACTTCCATTCTCAAGAAATACATTAAAGTTCAAAGTCTACGGTCTCAAACTCATAGTCATCATTCTTTTTATTGTTTCAAGCTCCCTTAAGTCATTGTATTTAAGAATAATGTCATCTACATATACAATAAGGATGATAATCAGACTTTCTTAATTAGAGTTTACAAAAAAAAAGCATGATCAGCCTAGCATTGATAGTATCCATTGGCAAGAATAGTCTTGATGAACCTTTCAAACCATGTTCTAGGAGATTGTTTCAACCCATATAATGAAATTTGTAGTTTACACACCAACTGGCTATTTTTGTGGTTCTCTAATCCCAAAGAAATCTCCATATCAAGTTCTTTTTCTAGATACCCACAAAAAAAACATTTTTAATATATAGTTGATGTAAAGGTGCCTAGCATTGATAGTATCCATTGGCAAGAATAGTCTTGATGAACCTTTCAAACCATGTTTTAGGAGATTGTTTCAACCCATATAATGAAATTTGTAGTTTACACACCAACTGACTATTTTTGTGATTCTCTAATCCCAGAGGAATCTCCATATCAAGTTCTTTTTCTGGATACCGACAAAAAAAAACATTTTTAATATCTAGTTGATGTAAAGGCCAGTCCTATCAGATAGCCAGTGATAATAATATTCTTACTATGTTGAGTTTCGTCATTGATGCAAATATCTCCTGTCATTCGATTTTGTAGGAGTGAGTGAACCCTTATGATACAAGTCTAGACTTGATCGTTTATATGTTCCCATGTGCTTTGTATTTAATAATGAATACTCATTTGTACCCTGCAGTTCTTTTCCCATATAGCAAAGTTGTTATGAACCAGGAAATATTCTTTTCAAGGGCAAGATTTTTTTCCTCCACGGTCTTTTTCCAAGCAAAAATAGATAAAAGTTTTTGGATTGAATTTGAGACCTGTACATTAACCAAGTTCTGAACAAAAGATTTGTAAGAGAGATAATTCTTCATAGATAGAAAATTTTTCTATAGGATATTTTGTGCATTATTGTACTCCTTCCTCTTGGTGTTCAGGATGTGTTGACCCAACCTTTGTGTGAGTATTTGGGATGTCGAGTTGGTTCTAGTGATTTGCATTTCTGATTTTACATATTTTCCCTTGCATGCTCACTAGGTTTTTTCTTTCTGGTGTACACACAAAATTCTTGGTTCTTGGTGGGAGTTGTAGGAGGATTTAGTATCGTAGTTTCATTTTCAGGTTGATTTATGGTAATAGGCCAAAGTGAGCTTATTAGGGATATCAGGGAGGTGAGCTTGAGGTTCCCAAATGGTACCCAAAATCTGATATTCTCTCCAACTCTCCCCCTGAATAGTAGATTTGTGATGGTATGGTTGGTTTTAAAAAAAGGTGACAGCCATAAAGTTGTAAAATTTGTGTTTTTGGAAAGTAGCATTTATACCCATTTTAGTTTAAAAAGCAGCCAACAAAGATGCATTTGATTGACCTAGGATCAAGTTTGTCTGGTGTGGTTAATGTAATTGAACAAAACTATGCAACCAAATATTTTTACTTTAGAGGTGAAGGATTGAATGTGAGATAGGATTTTATGAGGGTGCTAAGAGGTTTGTTAAAGTTTGGCACTATATTGGGGATCTTATTTATGAGATAAGTGGATGTGAGAATAACATCCCCCACAAGTGTTTAGTACGTTGTTAGTGAATAGAAATTAATGATCCACTTTGAGGAGATTTTTGTTCTTTCTCTCAACAACACAATTTGATTGGGATGTGGCAATACAATAACTTGTATGAATGATGTCATTTTTGGATAGAGATGGATCGGGAGTGGAGTTGTAGTAGTCTTTTACATTATTGATTTTGAGTATTTGAATTTTGCTCTGAAATTGAGTGAGACTCATGTTGTGAAAGGTTTCAAATGTACAAGAAGATTCAAATTTTTCCTTCATGAGAAAGGCCTACGTGGTTCTGGTGTGATCATCAATGAATGTGACAAACCACATAGTCTCATTTATATTTTTTTTATTTTTGAGGACCCCCATATATCACTATGAACCATATGTTGGTTTGTATTTGTATCAGTCGAGGTACAACAGATGTTAGCAATTCAGTCAAACTAACTCTCACTAACACTCGTCCTGATTTTTATAATCAAGACTCATTGAGTGAAGAACTAATCTAACTGAATTGTCGCATATACGTGATACATTGCTTTTCAATTATATATTCAGAAGCACGAAAATTAAATCATTCAAACATGAAAACTATATAAAGTTGCTAAATCAAAAACAAGAAAAATACTAACCCAAAATTTATATACAAAGCTCCCAAAACTATCGTGCAAAAGCTGCACAAGTCACCTGAATACTCTCCACAGTGCTCATTGCCCCTACCTGGAAGGCAAAACGTAGAGTGAGCAAAACTCGCCCAACAAAATAATCATGGCAAAAACAAGACTTTGAATATGGAAAGAAAGTAACGAGCATCAAATAAAATTATACATGTCTACATACAATCATAACATGCTAGCATAATAAAAAATATGAAAAGAGAACAGATGCAGGTAATATAAAAATCAATTGTAGTGTAGCATGCAGGTTGTAAGCATGAAATCATAGGTATAAGAATGTTTATAAGCATATTCATTTATTTCATAGAGGTCGCATCATAATAATGTCACTTGTTCAATGTATATGATTCAACTATTTCCATGTTATTTTATCATAGGTCGTCACCCTGCCCCAAAAACCATATAAACTATCAATAAAAGTTGAGCACTCTCAACATAGCAGTTATCAACAACCCTTCTGATACCCACGGTTTCCTAACATTCTGTCACAGACTAATTACAACGGTTCCCAGAGTTTCGTCCATGTATAAATATCAAGAGTCGGGAATACATCTCTACATAATGTACTTGCAATAACTCATACAATAGTCTATCCTTAACATTCATTTTGATATTTCTTAAAGCATAATATATGTAGCAACATTAATCAAACATTTCATGAAGCATAAGTCCTGCAATCATGTATTTCATATCTCGCATGAATCATAACAGAATGAATTCCTGTAAGTGAATCACATGAAGGATAATAAAATTCAACTTGTATTCATAAATTAATTGCACGTATTCATCTATAATATGCCAGAATTCCTAAATGCATTAGTATCAAACTATAAATCATATGAAACATATAGAAGAGTATTTTTTTTTAATTTAGCATAAGACTATTTCACCTGACTAGACAGAGCAGCCACACAACGAGTTTCTATACGCTTGCCTCAAGCTCACCACCTCGTATACACAACCTGCAGATGCAGGTAATATAAAAATCAATTGTAGTGTAGCATGCAGGTTGTAAGCATGAAATCATAGGTATAAGAATGTTTATAAGCATATTCATTTATTTCATAGAGGTCGCATCATAATAATGTCACTTGTTCAATGTATATGATTCAACTATTTCCATGTTATTTTATCATAGGTCGTCACCCTGCCCCAAAAACCATATAAACTATCAATAAAAGTTGAGCATCTCTCAACATAGCAGTTATCAACAACCCTCCTGATACCCACGGTTTCTTAACATTCTGTCACAGACTAATTACAACGGTTCCCAGAGTTTCGTCCATGTATAAATATCAAGAGTCGGGAATACATCTCTACATAATGTACTTGCAATAACTCATACAATAGTCTATCCTTAACATTCATTTTGATATTTCTTAAAGCATAATATATGTAGCAACATTAATCAAACATTTCATAAAGCATAAGTCCTGCAATCATGTATTTCATATCTCGCATGAATCATAACAGAATGAATTCCTGTAAGTGAATCACATGAAGGATAATAAAATTCAACTTGTATTCATAAATTAATTGCACGTATTCATCTATAATATGCCAGAATTCCTAAATGCATTAGTATCAAACTATAAATCATATGAAACATATAGAAGAGTATTTTTTTTTAATTTAGCATAAGACTATTTCACCTGACTAGACAGAGCAGCCACACAACGAGTTTCTATACGCTTGCCTCAAGCTCACCACCTCGTATACACAACCTGGGAAACAAAGATATCATAGGAATTCATAAAACTCGAGTTCATAACATGATTTAATGAAAACACAGCTTATTTGCCTGAAATGTACCTCAAATGGGCTTCTCGGCATAAATTGCCCTTCTGAAACCACCTAATCTTCTTCTCATCACCTCCAATTTAACATCTGCTTCGCTAAAATCCTGCTAAGACCCTTTTGAAAGCTTGCAAGATAATTACGACAATTCCAAAACAATCGACACCTCCAACGGATGTCGGAAACGTGAAAAACATGAAAAATGAGGCAAACTTCAATACGAAAGAAAGAGAAAGGAAATCAATGCTTAAAATTGCGATATAAAGGGATTTGTGCTTTACATAATTTACCCCAAAGCCCTGGATTGTGAGTTTCAGCAACACTATGCGTCGCTCGACTTGTCTATTTGCTGACCGTGCGAACTCCTCCAGGTGCGGGAAATCGAATAGGGAGAGAAGAGTCGAGAGAGAGAGAGAGAGAGAGGGAATTTGGGAGGAGAAAATCGAAAGAAAGGAGATGATTTCGAAGCTCTAAAGTGAAGCATGAAAATAAAAGGGCTATAGGCGATGGGCTACACTATTGCGGGATTAGGATAGGATTAGAAAACAATTAAGATAAATTAATTAAATTAAACTTAAGCTTCTAAATTTCATATCTTTCAATTCGTTAACAATTCATGCATGGTGTTTTATATGAAATTGAGTGATTTCATGCGTAGAATTTAATAAAATTATTTCGAACAAATTCAAGGAGAAGAAATTTTTTTAGGAACTTTTAGAATTTCTCGAACTTACCTGATTTCACGAAATATTTCATGTTTGGGCACACTTATCGGGTATGTTTAACACGCTTGCAGATTTCACACTAATAAGAATTATGTTTTTAATTAATAAACAAATGAGAATATAATTTTTCAATATAATAGAAGTTAGGATGCCTAAAATGAAAATGTCATAGCATAACTTGACTCTCATGAGAAACAAACTCGGATATATGACTTGACTGAAAGGTTTGTGAATGAGGAGATGGTCTTTCTGAAGTGGGAGACCTAATTAGCAGATAACGTCCATGATACATGCCAGCACTGTAAAATAACATTCCCTGAATCCATCACCTGAAATTCACACAAAGTATGGTAACACAATCACAACTAAATTTACATCACCTGAAATTCACACAAAGTATGGTAACACAATTCAAACTAAATTTACTGATAGACAGTAAATTGCAGCTAAGTTTAGGAAAATAAAGCACAGATTGAAGAATAATGTTCATTGTGAGTTTTACAGTTCCTCTTCCATCCATAGATGAAAGTGGTGCTTGCAAGAATAGATGGATTGGAAAGCAATGATATCACCTATCATGTGATCAAATGCTCCAAAGTTTAATATCCAAGGTTGATTCTTCTTGTTGAGAGCAACAAAAGAACAAGAAAGTCTACCTTCCTTTGCTAGAAAGTTGGTTGAAGGCTCATAATATTATCCCAGAAGCCTTTGGAGAGCTTCGTGTTATTCCTTACTGAATGGACTATGTTCATGTAGCTTGTAATCATTTGATGTTGTGTTTGCCTGATTTTTCCCATCACTTCTGATTTTGTTAGGCTTTCAATCTACATATTTTTCATAAATTTTCCAATAATGCTCATTTAGATGACCAAACTTTTTGTAATATACGCCAGAGTTTGTTCCTCTTTGATTTTTTGTCCTCAGAAGAATTGTGAGTGTATAAAATTGAGTTGTCAGCATTTGATGTATTGAAATTATATGTCATCATGAGTTTCTTCAACTCACCCTCTTGCAGGTCATGTAACTTAATTTCAATGTTAAATGATTTGTGAGTGTATAAAATTGAGTTGTCAACATTTGATATATTGAAATTATATCTCATCATGAGTTTCTTCAACTCACCCTCTTGTAGGTCATGTAACTTAATTTCAATGTTAAATAGCTCAAAGATGTTCTCAACACTTGCATAGGTTTCCCTTGTATCATTCCAGACTTTTTTTGTCGTTCTGTATAGGAGAAAGTTTTCTCCTATTTCTGTGGATATTGATTTGACAAGTCATGACATGACCATGTGAACTTCAATCTTCCATAACAGATGTTTAAGAACTGTAATTTCTGGCACAGAATTTTCTTCATTGAGATTACTATCTTTTCCTTTACCACAATGTACATGAACGCAGATTGACACCATTAGAGAAAATTGTTTTCATGCAGTTTGTGATTGGCGATGTAGGAATAGACTTCAGATGTTGTTGAACCAAACATCCTAAATTCGAGTTCCATGTAACTTCTAAAGAGGATGAAGTAGGTGTCGTGTCATATTTGGTCACCATCAAGATTTCCACATGAGAGAAATTGTCTATCGGTAACACAAGATTTCCAATTGAAAAAGAAATTATCTGTCATCGACACATAATTTCTACCAGAAACTGTCTGTCACTAACACAAAATTTTCACCAGAAATTGTATGTCACCGACACAAGGTTTCTGCTACAGAGAAATTGTTGAAGACCTGATTAATAGCACTTGCAGGTCCCTGATGTCTGCCCTAAGAAAATCTAGCGGCATGGATAGTGTGATTTCTACCATGGAGAGAATGTTCACACCCGATTATTTTGTTGCAGATGATTTAAGAGAAAGTTTCCTAAAACACACGGAAGATCAGAGTGCTAGGAAGCGCGCCTACAATTTTTGTCAAAGCTGCGATCCTCGTAAGATGCGCGAATGATTGCGAGAAGGGGATATGCAAATGACTATGACATCGGAAAAAAATACAAAGTGGCAGAGGATAAAAATAAGCATAGATCATAGTACCCTAGGGATGAAAAGCCTATTATGAACAAACTATTGAAGAATACAAGAGAATCAATATAAGGTAATGCACGATCAATTCCAACAAGAGCATTTGCTTTAACTTCCTAGAAAGCCAAGGATTCTTTAGAGGTTATGCCCAGTGTGATTAACATTTTAGATTTTTTGCTATGACAGATTTTGATTCTAGTGATTCATACTTTTCTTGTTAAAGATCTTTGATAAGTAACAAATGGAACTCATCTATTTTATCCTTGGTTTGCCTATTGTGTTATATGTTGGAGATAAAATATTTGTTTCTGTTTTATGCTCTATTGATATTATCAAACTTGAAGAATATTCATGTTTAATTTGAGTTTGCCACATATATGTTGGGTGAAATTCACAGTAACAGAGATATACTAGCGTATTAATGTTGTATGAATATTCAACAAAAACGGATAAAATAAAAGCTTATGAAAGGAACGCTAGTGTTTTTATGTGGAAAACA